CCCGCTCGTCAGGATTCCTGTTAAGCACGCGTATCAACTATCAAATTTACGAGGAAAATTCGGGAGAATGACTTTGTTCAACTTCAAAGAATCTTAGCTGGATGTGACGCGCAGCGCAGGTGTAAGGTGAGGCATAGGCAATGAGAGGAAAAAAACCTGACCCTAGAGAACACTAATTGATAAGAGCAGGCTACTAAACGAGCACAAGGGCAGCAAAAATTGGGGGCAAGAATTTATTTAGCATATGCAGTCGAACGGATACTACACGAAAAAGAAGTCAACAGAAATCTCTATTCTCTTCCCTATAAGCCGAGCGCTCGATAAGATAGTGTCATAGATCAGCAAAAAAAAATAGAGTTGCATAATGCGCTTCACATTAGAGTTGAAAATAAATGTGACTATCAAAGCACGATGTCAGCATGGGGACGAGACAATAAGCTGCGTACTGACTGTGCAGCGAGGCCGTAGCACAGGGTCCTGGACAGGGACTTGGCAGATGGTTCCTTGATGGGACCTTGGCAAATGGTTCCTGGTGAGGCCTTGGCAGATGGTTCCTCGACAGGGCCTTGACAGATGTTTCCTCGACAGGGCCTTGCCAGATGGTTCCTTAGTAAGACCTTGACGCCTCAAACCACAAGGGGCGCAGCACCACCAAGGCAGGCATGTCAGGGGGACTGAAGCAGACGTGAGGAGGAAATGTTCGTCGTGTGCCCACAAAGCAGCAGTTGTGACGAGGAGTCTTTCTTGCAACACCGCGCCGTCAACTCGCCACCACCGACGCCACAATTTAATAAGCAGGAAAACACGGTATAGGCAACGTCAGGAAATGAGCGGCTCACATTTATTTATTTACAACGTTTACACGAAACGGTCACAAATGCACCATAAGCAATGGTACTGCTTAGTGGTAAATTTTCAATCTTTATCTCCCGATGGAGTTATTTGTTACAGTTCTTCAATGGAAGTAACTCGGATCTGTTGGGAAATAACACGCTACACCAAGAATAACCACCCCAGCAATTTTAAATTTTACAGTTTCGTGACTATTTATTTAACAGCTCCAGAGCAGAGCTTTGCACATTTATAAATAACTACTGCGAAATCGTCATCATAAAAGTAACCAAGAAAATAATAAACGCAAATATATACGGGTATATCTAGCATTTCTATGAAGACTGGCAGCGAGTCAATATTTTTTTAAAACACCGTTCAAAATTTGGAGGTCCGCACAAAAAAACTTTAACAACACACACTTTTCTGGCACGAGCAAGTAGGCTAGCTACGCGCGATGAGGGGCTCGTTCATTTACTTCAGATCGATCGGAAGGAAATCCCAAGCAAGGCGAGACATTAATTAGTCCAAGGCTAAGTAATCCTGAACGCCTTATGTTGGAACGAGGACACATGAATGATTGTATATAACCGGTTGAAAATATTCTGTAAACTTGCAAGCCGATTTTTGCTGAAATGTGAAAAAATGGCTCCCGAGATTCACATCGCATGAAACTATTTTCGAAGCAGCAGACGTAACATATTGTATGTGTAATTTCCTTTCCTGGAGCGCTGGCAATAAAGAAAAAAATCAAATTCCTGCCATGGCATCTCATCTCATTTTGTTGCCAAGGAATGATCCCAACGTGACGGTGCAATCGTGTCCAAGCGTCCATTTAACAAATCTGTAATTGCAGGTACGCAAAACTTACAATCTCCCATGAACAGTTTTGGTGTTGATTTTATTAATTAAACCTCAAAGGAATGTCTTCTAGAGAGAATATTGGCAAGAAACTAGCAGGAACTCCCACGGCCACGCTCGCCAGCAGCCCCCTTCGCATAATTCACAGCCCACGCGACCGAGGAGACCGCACGTTGCTTGGTCTCAGGTTCCCATGAAACAGGCGGGTGGTACACGGCACAACTTATCGGCGTGGAGAAGGCAAGAAACTTCGTAGTTACAGTACAATGAAGGACGTTAAATGTGGGCTATAATCGTCTCATGTACCTTCATCTCGTCCTAGTGTACAAAGCTGTCATGACGCATATTCTTCAAAATTAAAACGAGACAGTCAGCGTTACATAATAAGGTTTTGGGATTTGAACGTGATGAAGAATTCTAGAATACCATTGTGGTGCTTAATCAGCTATACGAATATCTGTAGTTGCATTGAAAGGCATTCTTGTGGAACGTAAACGTTACAGAACGTTTAACTGTACATTCTAACTTCCTGATTATCCGGTAATACGAACAGTGAAATTGTTTACGGCCACAATGTTGGTCACACGTAACACTGAGTCTTAACTCATCGCACACCATCAAACCGCGCGGTGACACGAATTGCTGTGCGCTGCTGCTCACCAGCATGCACAGCTCAGCTCAGCTCAACGCGTTCGTCGTCGCTACGCACGACCAACTCTTCCGCCACTTTCACCGAATCCATCACAGACTTAGATAGAATTAGTCATTTTTAGCTGGATAGGATTGCCTTTTTACGCAAACAGAATTGCAGTTGAACGCTATAATTGTGGTGTAAATCAAAAATCAAACTCCAGGCAATAAGTTATTGAAGCATAAATGAATTTTTCGACAGCCAAACTTCAAGAAGAAATGAAAAAACGCCTATACCAAGAGATTTTAAAGTATTCGAATATGTCGTGGATAAACCTACTATTTTCTACTTTTGACTACACGTTATATACAGCAGTATCATCGATGATGGTAAGATCAGTTTTGTCATATGAAGACATGTCTAACAAGTTTGCCTCAAATGGCTAGACTTCGAAGAAAAGTACCAACACACCAGCCGAAAAAGAAGAGTCAGGTCACGCTAACCATGTGCTGCATGCCAATACCATCATCCAGCTGCACGGCAGTTGTGTATACCAGGCATAGCACTTGCTGTACCTACCAGTACCTGCAACTGCTGCTCGCTCCTAACTACGATGTGTTCAGGAAATTCGTGCCTTCGACAAGCAGCAAATTATCCCCACAACTAAATGTGATGCATGAAAATTTTTCACTACGCAGTACTGGGCCATGAACCATTGATGCTGTTCTGCATTGGGAGCAGCGAAACAAATATATTCATTGAATAAAAAAATCACCTTTACTATAACTAAATCCTAGAACTTTGTGCAAACTAGAAGAAGAAGAAGAATAGGCATCCTGAAATTTTGCATTATGAGCAGAATGAGTGTACTTCTGATTTTAGTTTTGCATTTAATTAGCATCCTACTAGTTTCATGCCTTAAACTACTGTACTATAGTCAATTCATCAACAGTACTTTTAGGCCAAATTTTTGTTTGCTTATAAATATTTACACATAAAGCACCCTTGGTATATATCATGGATACCACCAAAATATTTGACATGCTCTTCAAAGGCACAAATTTTGCAGCAATATTATTCAGACAACCCGCATTGGAATGGCATGATTGCAAACCTTTGTCAGCCTAAAAGGCAATATATAATTCAATTCTCAGTGTTAAACATCATTTAGATCAAAAAATTTTATTTACAGAAGAACTTGAGTCACAACTGACTTCATAACGGTTTCAGTATTTATGAACATTCCATTGGTTGCACATACAAATTTACTGTTATATTCATGGAATAAATACTTTTCTAAAAAGTTTTTTAATTAATATATGTTTTTAAAACTTTTTTCTCCAAAAGTCTTCATAAGCATTAGAGAATTTTTACATAATATAAATGTTTCAGTGATACAATATCTGTAGACAAAAAATTATATCACAAAGGAGACAAAGAAATTCAGGAAAGATCAAGTGAGGTCACATTAGACTTGTTGCAAAATTCCAGAGGCATGCAAGCTTAAATATATTTTTTAATATATGTTACTTTATTAAGAGATAAAAAAGGCCCTGACATCTTACTGAAATTTCAGTTCTCTAAAACCATATATTTTGTAAATTCTGATACCTTAAAAATCATAAAAGTTATGGTGCTAAGAAGTTTAACATTTTTCAGTTTGTTCTATGTTTGCTATAAAGTCATAAATTTGTGATATCATGAGAGTTTGTATATGCTTTGATATAGAGGAAATATATTATATTCTTCAATTATTAGACAAATGAGTTTGACGCTATTATTTTTTCAAGGTTAATATAATTGACTCCATCGAAATGCAAATCCACATTTAAATTTTTTTCATGGCAATAAAGTTGATGAAAATTTGAACTATAGAAATCCAGTAGTCAATTTTTCCAGTTTGGATTCAGTAGTGATTAAAATTTACCTCACTAATGAATAAAAAAAAATAAAACCAAATAAAAAGTAGGCTATATGTTAAATGTCAACATGAAAATGGCTCATTGTCCCTCAATTCAAGCAGTTTGAGCCCCTCCAAGGCTGAGAAGGCTCTGGCCTAAGGCTAAGGGTAGAGAAAATATTTATCTTTGTTTAATGTAATCAGTAAACAGCAACATTGCTAGAGGGCAGCCCATAGCTTACAAATATCTACCACTACCTGGCGGCTGTACCTACTAGCCTACTTTCCAAGCCTGGAGGCTGGACTATAGCTTTGCCAACATTTAGGGATTTCAAAATCTTAGATATATGGTTTTCTGATAAGTTCTTTATTGGATGTAACAACTAGTCTGCAAGACTCATAGAATATTGAATTTTTTTTAACCATCTTCCCAGTTCAGTTGCAAATGCCAAATTATTGGCTCTGTGAGTGGGAGCTGGAAAAAAGACTGGAACACGAGCTGTCAAGCTCCAGCCTTGCAGCCTAAAATGATGCTCTTTAAATGGAGCATAATTTATTGAATTTATTGATAAAATCAAAATTATTTCGAAGCAGTATTAGACGGTGAAGACTGTAAAAACATCCTATGTAAAAATGTTCGACAAAATATTTGTAAAAGGCTTTGTTGTTAGAGAGCAACGGGGTGAGATTCAAAATAAAGCAGACGCTCGCCGATGTAAATGCATACTGTATATGACAAATAAAAAGAGTTAAAAGACTGGTCATTTGAAAATTTACCTTCAAAAGGCGTAAATTGCCATCTCTTGCCGCCGAGAAGACTATTTTTGAGCATTCCATTTCAAGACGAGTTCCTAAAAATCCAACACGAGGAAACTAAGGACACATCGTCACACGACACACGCTAACAGCTGACTGAGCGACTACCTAGCAGACGAGCTGTCCCGACTCCGCTTGCCTACTAATGATGATCAGGTGGCGGTCGTTGTTACAGCCATGGCTGAGTCATAGACATAAGACGGCTGACTCAACAAACACAAAACAACAACAGTTTTAGCTCCTAATTTCACATTAAAGTTATAACAGCACAGCAGGATATCACGAGTATCACCAGAGTTGCACATGAACCATTTCACGACGGTGATATTATTAAAAACGTAAATTTACAGGCTGCAGTAACATCTGTATTTGAAATTAGTGGTAAAATAATTGAATCGTACAAATTAGGTTGAAACACAATGCGGAGTAAACAATTGAACGCTTTTTATCTAAGGAGGACAGGATATGGGGATATAATTTCATTTATTGAACTGCGTCGACAGTCAGTGAATCGCTGCACGCGCAGCGTAATAGAAATGATCTATTTAACGTTCAAATGCGTAAATAAATTATTATAAAAAATGCAGTTCAAATTTAAGATTGTATATTTGCGAACCAACAAATGAACATCTTTTGATCAATTTGAATGAAAAATTCAATCGCAGCATTAAACATTACTCCCTATTTAAACCACATACATAATTTTCATGCCATTGAATGCTGAAAACTAGTGCAAAACGATTACTCATAAGTATCAAAGATTCTTGCTCGATGTCAAATCGAATTGACGTTGGTGGAATAAACGTCTCTGATTGGATATTACTACGCTATAAATCTTGCATCTTTCAACATATACCATCAAGTGTACGGCTACTATAAACATTATTTTATAGCGGTTTTGGCGTTTATTAGGCCGTAGGCCTGTCGCCGATTCTTAACATCGTAGATCATCCACATTATTTTACGGTCTCGAATTCTGCTGTGCTTAACCGCCCGGCCTCGTTCTGACCAGAAACTGGCGCACAGAGATGGGATCGAACCCACACCTCTCTGCTCCAATCCTGCTACTCTGTAACCATTGGGTTTCGGTTCAATGGCTGCAATAATTATAAACCCAAACAGTGACTTATGATTTATTCTTCATGGAAAGCGAAATCTACTCAAATCTACGCAACATCTTACATTTCTGCGATAAGAACAGCTGTGATTGTTTAACCCATACCTGCAGAATAATTAAATAGGATTCTGGTCGTGAAAAAAGATGGAATGGGAAATTCGAGTAGACCCAAAACCCTATTTTTCTGGTTAGCGGCAGCTGAGGCGCTTTCACTATGAAAATAGATTCAGATGATCCTCCAACTTTAAAGCCCGATATTCGAAGTGGGAAATACTTATCGCTAATATTATCTGCTAAAACTTTCCCGAAGTATAACAGCTATATGAAGGAAAATGCTCAGCTAATTTCTGTAATATTTGGACTAAGCTCACGTATACAGGTCACACTCATAGTTCAATCATGGGTCACACTGACCGGCAAATAGTTACAAATATTCAGGCTAATTGCGTTGTATGTTTTTGAGCCGAGCAGATTTAGTTCCCATTTATAAAATGTCTTCAACATGCAGCTGGCAGTCATCACTTTTGAACTGAGCTTGCTAATGCTAACTGAGCTTGCAAATTATGTTACGAGCTTTATTAAAAATACATATTTACTCAGTACCCATATAACGGCAAGTTTTAGTCTATGCTAAATTAAAGAATTTATCATACCATTCGAAGTCGTGCCCCAATGGCAAAAAATCTAAATCCATTCAGTCCCTTGAAAATTTGTAATTTATATTTGGAATCAAACAACAAGTGTGACAATGGACAAATAGTAAGAGACATAAATAATCGCCTCATATTTCACTTGAACAATTATAGCCTTCAGTGAATAGGATATCACCACGCAATAAAAACGATTAGAAAACATTGTGCATTTCTCTGGGCAGTTCGTGACCTTACGAAAGGGCAAGGCGATCAAGGATTCGTGCGCGGCGACCAGCGGATAGTGTGTTATACAACGCGCCAGACCACGCCTCCATAGCGGTATCAGGATTATTGAAAATAATTACGATTTAAAAACACAATTTGGTTCAAAACATTTAATATGCCAATCAAAAAGGAGAAATCCGAATATTGAATCAACAACACTTGCGATCAACGCATTAACGTTTTATTTTGTGGTTACGATAACCGAATAATCGCCAGTGCCATTGACATCGATAGCATTACTTCAATCTCATGTTAAAAGTTCTCAACTAAGATTAGCGAGTTAAGCTGAGAAAATCAAAATATTGACGGTGACTGGCTGTCGGAGTTCAGTGGTTCTTTGTTATAATACATTTATTACCTCAATATACATATCTTAACATTTTTTCTGCATCGCGCTACAAACATGAGCAGAAAGCTTCATAATTAGCATTGAAGGGCAATATTTACTCAAGTTACTGTCGAATTTTCAACGGAAAGTTTAAACAAAAAGAATTCGGCACATCAGACAGTAGAAACAGACCGCTTTGAAATAAACATTTGTATTGTTGCGAGGTATTCTATAAGACGGCCTTATGGAGGCCATTATTTACCTGTACCGTTCTTTGCACATTAATATAGAACGATAACTTCTTGAAGAAATAGCAACAAAACGTTGCAGTAAGTCTTCCATGAGTGGCTCAGTATGTTGACATTAAAAATGCTGATCATGAGCTGATAGCGCAGTACAAATGCATCGCCAGCGTCATCGCTGGTCGCGCGTGCGTCTTGCATCCGCATCCGTAGCGTGTGACGCATCGCGCCAAGTGGCGGCCACGCCGCGCTAACGGACGCTGCAGTAGCATTCTCACGACATTCATGTGACCGTCGGATGCTTTCTATACATTAACATCCTGAAACGCAAACCTTACTCTAAAGGTCGGAGAAATGCGAAAGCTTTAGTAAATTATTGACAGCTGTAGTGTAGAATGTCATCGTTTCTCGTCAAAGTGCCCGACGTAATTTTTGTTGATTTTGCCATGTAGCATCAGGATTTTATGTGAATGCAAGATCATTTCTGTACGACATCGGCGTGTCAGGGTTAAAAGACGCTTCCCTCCTGTCATTATAAACTAAATAACTTTATTTTGAAGAAAGCGATAGGATTTGAAACGTTTCGTCAATGTTGCATCATTCAAACACAAAGAAATCGATTCTGGTTGGCATTGCATTGTTTAATATTACGCGGTATACTCAACGCAGGGAATGCCATCTAATGCCCTTGCCAAGTTTCATCCACTGAATACTCCAGCATGCATGGAAATCTAAAAACTTGGATGATGAATACCACGTTATGATCAGAAACACTAACTCATTTCTGTCAACGGGCAGTAAGAGAAAGACCTATATAATCAAAACTGCTAAAAAGGAAAAATAGAAACTAATATCATTGGCATAGTTTTTATTCGCTAGAGGCATTGCATCTTTCCTCTTCCAGCTGAAACTTGAAAGAGAAATTTCCGTCCTTGAGGTCGAGGCAATAATGGAATATTTTCGAGATGCCGGAGGTGGCGGGGGAGAGGAGAGACCGCGGGTGCCGGAGCAGGTGAACGCCCTGGTGGCACGTAGCGTTCCACGCCACCTGGGCAATGAGGATAAATTCAGTGGCACCGTGGAAAATGTTGTGCACATCCACCAAGTAAAAGAATATATGATATATTACAAAAAATGGTATCATTATAAAATACTATGAATAAAAAATATCGTAAATCAGTTACATTGTAGGACGAAAAGATCGGGGTGATATGATAGTAGTTTAATCAAGAACAAAGGAACGGCATAGCAAAAATTACAAGCAACAAAATATAATTAATAAGACCCAAACTGGCAGCCAAGCAACCAAACAAAATAGAGAAAATTTACATAAATATTCTTAGCCTGGGCAACAAGTTTAAGAAACATAATAATAGGCCTAATACTACTGAACCATTTGCCCGCTAACAAGAACTCTAATTACCAGTCTCTCAGATACAAAAAGCATCGACAACGATCAATGTACCCGTAGACCGAAGGTTGAGACGAATATTATCTTTAATGGATGAAATTCTTCATAATACATTTTATCCGTCGATTCAAACATCTTCCACTTCACGGTAAAGTAAATACAAATTCCTACCAGATAAACAAAATTTCCACACAGCAATGAGGAAGTAGGGCCGTAACCATGCAGAGGGGCGAAAAGCTATATTGGGCTGACCTTTCTGCCGGTGAGGTGATCGTGTGCGAGGGGACCTGTGCTGATGGTCTGATCAGCGAAGTGCCAGTCAGCCCACACTGCCACCCCGTTGAAGTAAAGCTCAGGCTGAGCATCAGCGCTCTTGTCTCGAGCTTGCCGCTTGATGCGATCAGGGCGCGCAGCGTCAGAGGCACGCAAGGCATCGACGTCCAGTTCAACGTTGCCTTTAAAATGTCGCTGCACGCCGCAGATCGGCTCTCTTAGATACAACTTCGTGATCATCACCGGTTCGTGCAGGGAGTAGCAAGGATATTCCCACAGCGGCTGCGGCTCCACAACTTCGCCTGTGCCGGTACGTGCCAAGTCTACCATCTGGCGTCAGGACATTTCATTAGTGGGCCAATGAAGCAAATTAAATCCGAATTTGCAGGAAGGTACAAATTTGGTCAGAATATATATCTTCAACAATAAATATTAAGCAGTATTTATTTTTGTACATATACAATAAAAGTATAAGGAAATCTGGTCACCTCATCAAAAGCAGTAAGATCGAAGCCACAACGCTGGCGGCAGGGAGCTCGTATCTTCCAGAGGTCGTCAAAGCTAACGGCCATGACGTGTATCGAGACGCACGCTGGCAGCAACATGGCTGACGTGCTAATGGGCAAACTTGGAACTGTGTTACCGGCGCAGTGAGACTCCAAAGATTTAGAAGTTGGAAAATTGAGATCAACAGATCTACTAACAAAAGAGTTTGATTCAAAATCAGTCGGGTTAGTGAGATTGGACGGTACATCTTCTGAAACATTCCGACCATTTGTCTCGCTGGAAGACAGTTCTTGAGGACGTTGATCAGAGGGTGAGGATTTGGAGGAGTGGGGCTGCACTGAGGCATAAGAAGGAGGGAGCAGGTGAGAACACTCGCTCAGGAGGCTGCTGAGTCGTACGTTGTGCCACGGCAGCAGCGAAGAGTTGAAGTGCGGCTCAGCAAACACAACCCCGATCTGGTCAGGCGGTGCGGAGTGTAACAATAGCCTTTAAATTCATAATAAAAGTAATTTTTCATTTGTTATAAAATCATCTGCAGATGCAGAACAAAATACACCTTTATTAGACAACAACAACAAAACCGTGAAGCAGCAGAAAAGAATAATTATTAACCGTATTTGAACAAAATTGAGAATGAACTATGGACATTCGCAGCAACATGTACCTTATGTTTGACTGCAGCGACTGAGATCTTGGAGAGGTCTTCAGGCAGCAGAGTGACGTGCTCCTTGAGAGCGTTCAGTTCCAGAAAGTCCAGCAGCAAACGCCGATTTTGGCGGATGGTCTCGTGAACGTAAACATGTTGCACGTCTGAGCACGAAATGTAAACTAGATGATAAACTGTACAGATTAATTACACATAAATCAAGAGAATTATTTTCATGTTTGAGATCATATTCGAGATTCAAGTTCCTCTTGAACAGGAATGGCTACAATTTTAACAGTACTACATTCATCTACATGTTGAAAAAATTTTTACATAAAAAGTTCCCAGCAATGCTTTACACAAGAAATGGCGTGTGACGCAGCTGGTCTAGCAAATAGCAAGACAAGTTCTTCAGTTGGTTTGCAACTAAACACAAGTGCCCGTGGAAATAAACTGAACGAATGTTGTGAGCTTACTAAACAAATGCGTCCATCAAAATTAACTGATTAAATCCTACGGCAAGCTAACTAAACAAATGAGTCCCTAATAAATGCCTTTTTGAGCCTACGGAACAAATGAATCTATTAAAATGAACTGAATATATGCCTCGGTGAGCTAATAAATGCAGCCTACTGGCATGAGAGGCGAGGCGTCCGATGAGGAGGACGTTCGAGGCGTCGCCCAACACCAGCCACGCCATCGTCCGAGGCAGCGCCAGGGCAGCGTCAAGAACTCTGCTCAGGACTGTCGAGTTTATGATTAACGCACATTAATCAATAAAAAGTTTATATTTCATCTATGGTAATAAATAGGTAACTATTTCTTTATAAATTAGGAGGTTTTTGTTGTTCACACTATATTTACATTTTAGGAATATTTGCTTTGAATAAAAGTCAAAATTTTCTCCAAGTCAAGTAGAGAGTTTATTCCAAGAGAACGTACCCAAATTAATTAAGGTACAGGTAAACTCTTTATATTATGTCAGGCTAGGTCAAAAGCAAAGCACTACAAGAAATGTTCATATTGAGATAAAAATTCGCACAGTTGAGTCGGTGTATATCAGAGAGTTGAGCCAGTCTGGTACGAGGGTTCACAAGGTGCTGTCCACACGAGCAGTGAGGAGCAGGCGGCCGCACGTCGGTCGTACTGCGATACAAAAACAAACATATCGGTCAGAGAACATTAAACAATCAGAAAATTTCGCCAACAAACGATCCATTTTTTTTATGCGGGGTATGAAACCAACGATCCATTTTTTTAAGCGAGGTATGAAAGAAACAATTAACTAGTTCTCTCTCACCCATGAGACAGCGAGAACCACATGCTGTAATCGTCTCTGGCTGCGGTGAGAATAAGTGGCTTGCTGCTACTGTGCGCGGTGAGAGGGATGAAGGGTCTAGGTAGATGATAGACGGCCTGCATCCAGTGATCCCTCCAAGCTAAACTCGAGTCACGTTCAGCCCACGTTGGAGCACAAGAAAGTACGATATCTTGGTCCTGATCCATGATAAGATGCCACCACATGAACACAGCGTGACACTCAAGGCTTTTATCTAAGCGCGACAGGAAGCTAACATGCACGGTGTCTGTAGTGGACAAAGGAATGTCACGGCCGCTCCAGTCAAACTTGAACATACATAGAGGCTCAGACACGGCGGTAAAATGTGAAGGATCGAGTTGTGAGAGCTGTAAATCGTGCACGGAGATGGAGCCTGGACACTCGGCCAGCCAAGATGGAAGGTTCAGATGAGACGAATGCGGTGGCCTGTTGTAGTAAGGGACGTTTGTGGAGGCCAGCAGGTCAGAACTCACTACTTGAGCGTAGACAAGTGCCCCGGAAGGCACCAACAATGCATCTTCCTGCCAGCACAAAGCCATATTATTTGTCAAGCGTTCTTCATAGCTGCACGTTAACACCTACCTATCAAAATCTAGATACCGAAACTAATTATTAAAATGACAATGCAAAGCTTCGTCCATCAGGATTACTTTTTATAGAGTATAAACCATAGAAAAAAATCACACAATATAACAAATAACTGCAAGTATCCACAAATGCTTCACTTACTGATGTTCTTATGAGATGTCTCACTCCTCATGGTAATTAGCTAACCTTAGGCAAGCTTTAAACAAAATCATTTAAATGGACTTTAAAGCCTATAATCTTTCAAGCCCTTCAGAGCTCTTTAACACGTTGACTCCGAAGTGGTACATATGTGTACCACAAAATGTATTTCTCCAGGACCTAGTGGTACATAATTCAGGTTGCTTAAGATCGGCCAAATCCGAGAACAAAAAAGGCCAAAAAAGGCCGATAACTCAATATATATACTAGTTTATTTGTAGGTTAAGATATAAAAATTCCCTTTATTTTCCTTTTGCAGTACTTACAATTTAATTCGGAAGTACGTACCCCTATCATAAATTTTAGCCGGTCAACACAATTGTGAAAAACTAAATCAAGGAATTTGTCTGGAAAAAATTACCATATGGCAACCCTGTTTGAAAACAGTACAAAAAATGAAATAATAGTGCAAGATGAAGCAATCGGAGTCAAAGTGCTAAATTATATAAAACTAATAGAGTATCCCCGCCTGCAAAATAGAATGGGTGCCAAAATGTTCACATATATTAATAGGTACTTACCTACTTCATTTCGAAGACTTGATTTCTCTAGTGAATCCCATGATAATTTGATCAAACCTGTTTTCAGAAGCACAGATCCCAATTACTACATTTCATTTAATGATAAAACATGTTTATTGGGAGAGAGAAAGCACTGACAGTGAGCAAATGTAGTCTAGCGTGTTCATAGGTGCTGATGGCGCCCTCTCCAATGAGCTCTGTGTCAAAGAGCTCAGCAACGAGCAGATTAGCGCGCTCAGGCAGATCTTCTCCCAGGACAAGTTCTGTGGAGCGCTTGTGAATCACCTGAACCTGTGAGAGCAAAGAAATAATGATTAAGTACAAGAAAGAAGAAAAATTAAAAATATTAGAGCCAGAATGAACAACTACATAAGAAAAAAAGCATAAAAACTCTTCGTATTAATTTTTGAACCATTTGTCCAAAATATATGAGACCCTGGAAGGAACTGACCTTTTCAGCAAATCCATTTGCCACCAAGACTTTCTCAGCACAGCAAGCCATTGGTTCAAACGACTGCAATGGATGAACATCACGGTATGAGAAATGTATTTTGAAAGAAAAATAATTGGTGAGGCCTCCTCTAATAGATCAAGGAAAAATAGGTACTGTAAATAAGAATAACTCTCAGATATTATTTGAAAATTAATTCATTCATCATGAAAAGAACAAAAGCAAATAGATAGTTAGGGGGATGAGGAATGCAGAAAATTTTGTTGGAATGTAATGACCAATATTTTTGTTTATTTACTTGAAAGCAAATAGAAGTGAATTAATAGCATATCACAGTTCTTTACATTTCTAACAGCTTCAACATATGTTAAGTCATCTGACCATTATTAAGCAAGGATCATACTTCACATGCAGTGATGTGATCAGCACCACACTGCAGAGCCATCATAGACAACAGTCCCGTGCCAGTCCCAATGTCCAGCACTCTGACACTGTCACCTCTTGCCCGTAATGTAGCCACTGCTTTTCTGATTGCATCGTAGTAAAGCTGGTTCTGAAAAATGGAATGGGTGACACATGATTTGACAATTAAAAGATGAAGACTGAGGGACAGTGAGTGGCAAAAGTATTTCATACCTCAGGTCTATATTGTTACCTCAAATACTCAAATAATAATTTTTTGTATGCATATATTGTAATTAAAATTGTTGATGAATAAATGAAAAGCAAAATAGAAATTGTTCCCCAAGCTATATAATCAACAATCCTAGTTAATACAAAAATAGTGTCCACAGTCCAATACAAAAAGTTTTGGACACCATGTGAGCACTTTTATGATTATGCATGCAACATAAGTTGTCATTGTTTTTCTCATTAGTACCACTTATTATTTCAACCAATTACAGGATTTCATCATTATCTGTAAGCCACATCAAGTGTGGGGAAAACATCACTGTGTAAGGTGCGATGGAAGTAATGTAAGAGCATCACAAATATGGTATAGTGATATAAATGTGAATGAAGGTGCCTATATATTTCCCACTACACCTATATTGTGGAATGACCTAGTAAGTCCAAAAGCAAAACATGTGGTATGATCAGAAAAATGTTTTGTAATTGCTAGAAGTTGGTGTAAAAGATTTTAACATAGGTACCAATTTTACAACATTTTTGGACATCTGCTGTTGATAATGTTTTTAAAAATATTTATGGTGAAAGTAAATTCAATTTCTGGTTGTTTCAGAATAAAAAAATATTTGAAATAGATTCTACTTCTACCTGCTGTCCTTGGTGGAAGAGGTTTTGATGTGACAACAGATATAGAAATAAGTGCAGCTTCAAGCTGTATTCTATAAGTTACATTTCAACTAGTAATTAAATTATACTAAATTAACCTAAAACTTTAGCATGACACAGCCAAGGTTGTAGCAGAGCTAGCTTTGATTCAACGGTGGTCTCTCATGATCAACTCTTTCTGTCTTACCCGCTCATCATCATGAAGCATGTCAGCATAAGCAGAGCTGGCAACCTCTTTGGAATAGTCATAATCTTCATCCTGCATCTCCCACTCTTGCTGTCCTGAGACTGGGTTGTAATGTTGAACAAAAACTTTTCCAATGGTTGCATTTTTAATGGGTGAAGAACTCATCCTTGCTGACCTTGCACCAACTCTTGCCAAAACAAATGGGTTCTTATAAAAGGCTTTACTGAAATTATGTAAAACACTGTGAAATACCTTGAAAGTTCCCAGAAATGCTGAATTGTTCACCATGGAAAAGTAAAAGTTTACACTCTTGATTATAAAACTTAATGGAATCCTAACCAAGAATATGTCACTTTAATCTTATCTGAAGAGTCAGAAACAGGATTTAGGAGACTACAATTAATAACTATGTAACAATCTCAGAAGCAACTAAAATCAACAAAATGCAAGACTCCAGAAACAACCTATATATATATGCCAATATTAGATGAAAAAACCAACCCATCATTAAATTATCTATACCTATATTACTAGGCCCCTCAAATTGTTCTATATTCATTCAGGATCTATTATAATACAATGAAAAAAATGGCCCCTACAGGCCATTTTTTCCAACATTTAAAAATCCATATAAAGAGTTTTACCATTTGTCTAACTTCTTGGGCACTGTTTTGGCAATTTTTTGTCTTCATTGCTAAAGAAATAAACTTTAAAATTTTTTTCAATTATTTTCTGTTAGCTCTACCTAAACTTAATGTTTAACATTAATTTAAATTTTGCATTTAATTCAACATGTTAATTCAACATGCATTTTTTCACACTGCATAATTTAGCTTCCTAAAGAAATATAACTATCAATACAAGCCAAAGAATTTTTGAATATTGAAAACAGTAGAAGCTTCAAAGTTTGGTACAAATTTTATAGTGCTACTGCCAAGTCTATTTCTTAAAAGGATATGGTAACTACAACATTTTGTAACTGAAATAGATCTAGGTATTTGGGCAATGGGCAATGTGATTGATACACTTGGTTAAAAATGAAGTTAGGTCTGAGGAATACTGTTTAAAGCATTTTAAATTTACTAACCAATCAATGTCTTGGGGAGTTGGAGTAAAAGTTATCCAGGCAGTCTGGACCACTGTGCAGAAAGTGCCCCAATCTCTTAGTCATGAGGTAACCTGGCCTGCACTGCCAGTCTGGCACTCAGGTCTCAGGCTATCATGGCAGACTTTTTTATTAGACATTGGCTTCTTTATTTCCCATTAGGTTTTGGAAGCTTGGCCATCAAAGCCCCCAAACCCACTTGTTTCACTAGCCTGTACATACATACTGGAACATAAAAACAGAAGACTTGAGCATGAACTGTTCATGCTTATTGCTCAAGTCTCAAGAAATGAATGCGATGTCATATTACTTGAAAAATTAGACTGATTAGAACTTTAGAAGAGGATGCAACTGCTGCATGTGCATAGTCTTTACTCTTATTATCAATCTATCCCAAGTGCCAAAATGTGTTGAGAGTTTGAGACATAAAATATGTAGTATATCTAAAATCTGAATATCATTGAAAACAAAAGTCAGGTCTTTAGGATTAATACTAATAGGGGTTTCTTTCAAGTTTCAATTTTACTTTGATTAACTACAGTATGTATTGTAAAATGTAAATTGAATTAACATCTAAGTTAAAATTAATGTTGAAAAAACTGTATATGTATAATGTATGGATTGTAAATTAGATAAAAAAAACTGTAGAGTTTATTTTTTCACTGCTAATGTGCAAAAAATTACTAAAATTTTGCCAAAATATAAAGACAAATTTATTTAAATAAAAAAATTGACTTTGATATGAAGCAGGTCAGCAGGATAGGAATTTTCCTAAGTGATTCTGTAATCTTGCGAGTTGCGGGCTGCGGCTCCAACATGACAAATTTTTAAAGCATTTGGAATCTCTCACTCATAAAAAAGCTTTCCACCCAACAAAACAGAGCAAAGTGTAAAGCTTTCCTTAGATAGGTAGGTACAGTGCTTTGCCAGGTGACTGACTATAAATGAAAAGGAGGATCAAAAGTGGACAAACTGTTTCAATTGTATGGTACCTCAGATTTGTTATAGAATTGTTTGGATGTCTCTTGTTTGATAGATATTTTTATTTTTCTTTTATTTAATGGATTTTTTGAAAATTTTCCAGGCTCTTGAGTCCTAGTATGGAATATATCTACTTGGCAAGCCGTGACTGAATTTTTTGAGCCGTGGTTTTATGGATTTGCCAGCCGTGATTTCATTTCTACGAGCCGTGATTCTATTTCACCGAGCCGTGAATTCCATATCTCGGCCATGAAAAGCCATTTACGAGGTGCGAATGCGAATTTATTTACAAAGTTTATGCACGTGTTACCCCAAATCTCTAATTTTACCCTTAAACAGTCAAACGGCAACAATAAAATTTGTCTCTACTGTAAGTTCAGCACGTGTTAATATACAGTCTGACCGCTTTGACATGACCGCAACTATGCGCGATCTTCAACAAACGTTTTGTTTATTTGTTTACATTACGATGTTTATGTTTTTTCTGCAAGATATTTTTGGCGGAAACGGTAAAGCAATGCGGATTGCGGAAGTTGAAAATTTTATGAAATGACATGTTTGCGAAGTGCAAACCGCGATTTTTTAATCGAACAAAAATTTATGACATTCGAGCCGCGAGATTTCATACCTACTGAAATTATATGATATTAGAGCCGCGATATTTCAGACAAAAATAGGACTTTTCCAGACTAGTTTGAGTCTTTGTTTGTAATAATCAAGTTTAATAACACGTTAAGGGGAGCGTCTGGGGCAAATTTTATCTTGGTTATTTACACTTTTACAGACAAATCAATTAGAAATTTGGTACATGTATGTAAAACAGAATTCTATGATCATCAGTAAAAAAAACTCCATTAATACGATTTTAACAAAAATGGACCTTCAAATTGCCTAAGGAATGCAAAACCTATTGCATATGTTTCAACGGTTTCAAGTGGATACGAACTCATAACATCGTTTACTCAGGTGGAGGTGACATAGTTTAAAGAAGGTGAGAGAGTAACAGTAACACATGTAGCTATCGCTATAAAAGTTTCACCACGATGGTATGCTGCTAATCTATCCACCGCAGCTATTTATGACCATCCAATTGTCAAACTCCGAAGAAGAGGATCAACAATGATTAAACCGTAACCGATGACGTGAGCTCTAGGTACCCGAAACATTAGTTCACGGCACTGGTGGAAGAGAAGTATGTGTGCTGCACCCTTATGCAAGTTGAATGCAACGCATCTCCTGAAAGACTGCAAGGTTTTTGCGAATAACCCGTTTGAAGATCAACGAAAGATACTTCTTTTGAATGGTCTTTGTTTTCGATGCCTCGGGAAACACAGACAATCTGACTGCAATGAAAAGCCCAGGTGCGAAAAATGCGAGCACCCACATCATCTCATGCAACCGCAATGCACAAATCTCCGGCAGTGAGGCAAACACCGATTGCCCTTGTAATCCAAACGAACAGCCACAATCCGCGTTGGCACCCCTGGAAACTTTCGGCGAATGATCCTCCTGTATACAGTATAGTGAGGGATTACTGTACTAGATTTTTGGGCAGGGAGTGTGCTGGGATAAATCCCAGTATTAACTGTATTATTAGTTTAAACATTTTTTAGTATCCGCGTACATGGACATGCGCATTCCGGGTTATTCGAAAATTTTGGCGGTTTGAGAAGCGTCGATGGGTCCGGGAGAGCAGCCGTGCACCACCAATTTTGTGCACCAATAAGCCCTGAATCGAACGCCTTAGATCTCTCCGGACTTCCACCAATCAGCCGTGAACCACTCGGCTTTGTCCACCTCCAGCCTGGCATAGAACCTGCCGTGCACCACCAGGCCGCGGATCGAATATGACTTCCGGGCATCGTTAAATTACGCAATTTTACGTTCACCGTATCTAAGGTTAGGTTTCAGATAGCAAAGTTCTGTTCCAAAATTTATCGTCCTTCGACGAGTGGCCGTTCGACCGTGGGCTGATTCGACCCACGGCTTAGATACGGACGGCTTGAAGTGTTGAAGGCTACGTTCCGGAAGGCAGGAATCCTGATGGTCCATTACATCCAGGGCAGTGGTGGTCTTCGGCAGGCGACCCGATGGGTCCCTTGTTACAGGGATAAACAACGATGTGACACGTAGAGATAGTAAAATATTAAGTAATTTTATTGTGACTAATTTTGTTCATGTTGTAAAAGTGTACTAATAGCAACTGTCTGCAATACGACTCTGTGAAATCGTTTCTGCCAACATTAAATTGATAGTGTGGCCAGTAGCTCAACTTGTCCTATAGGCTATATCAGTATATACAGTATTACTTAGCATATGTGACCTGTATTTTATAAGAATTCTGGTGTTCAAGACTCTCAGATAACATGAAGTTTCTCTCAGATAACATGAATATGAGTTAGTCACTTTCTGATAACTTAGTATCATTTAATCATTTTCATGTGTAATATTACCTGATTTATCAGTGATATATGAGCAGGTACAGGGTGCGGCGTGGGAACTTACTCTTTTAAAAAAATCACAAAGTAAAAAGTATTAAAGATAGCGTTTTAATTCTTTCTTTTTTACAAAAGCCACCTTCCTAGGACTAATGGCCGCCACGTGGCGCGCAATTCAAATAAGTAAGTTCCCGCGCCGCACCCTGTATGTTCAAGCATTATTAACTGTTACATGATTTTTATCTCATCATAACGCACGGCCTGAAAACTATGTTCTGTGTCATTGAATACAGTTAAACTCTCCTGGATGATCTTGATAATTTGATATATTTTCAATTATTAGCAGTTTTTCCCCATTTATAACGTGTGTTTTTTTTTCTGAGATTGATTTTCTAGCTTACTGCAATATTAAAGTGATTGTGCGAATTAATCAAGTTGTCTATGACTTATGAATCAATTACTATTTTAGATTCCCTTGTGTAATGTAACCTGACAGTTTGTACTGCATAACCCTACTTTTCCTCGACAAAATATTTTTATGTTACCGCCTAGAATAGATAGAAATCTGAATAATCCTAAAGCGTCTTGTATTGTTCAGTCGTTGCCGACTAACATTCAGAAGAATTACAATTATGACTAATATAAGTTCTGCCTTCTTACAGTACTCTGTTTTGCAGAGCACGTCATGGGAAGATGGACTCGAGATAAGAAGTAGAGTAAGAACATCTGTATTTCATTGACCAACCCATCTGCGGCCTCTGGCAATGAGGCCGCGACAATTACACTCAGCTTCAGACCTAAAAGTAGCAGACTTTGCTGGAGCGGCAGACTACTCACCTCATTAAGACTATTTATTATAGTGCCGTAGGTCTTCTGCCAATACTTGGGCATGCTCGCTCATAAGCACAGTTATGCATCCGGCCTCAACTACTCTAGCCTGACCTCTTCTGTCCTAACTATTCATGCAACAACGAATCACCACCTTCTTGCACAACCTACCTGCTCACTTACACCACCTCTCTAACTTCCCGCTGCCAATGAGAATAGGTTTGGTACGCTCATGTTTGTTTTGGGAGGAAAAATGTTGCGAGGTGAGTAGGTTTGACCAGAAATTATAATGCTTGATGCAGTGTGACCAGTCTTAACTCGAGCATGCTACAGTGGTGGCTGTGATAATACTGTGCATTGCTTCAAGCACTTGCCTTTTTCAGCTGCTTTGCTCTCTGGCGCACTTGGACGTCAAGCTATTTCATCTGAGACAGTTTAATGCTACTCTTCCTTTTCATTCAATGCTTCTACAAATTCAAAAGATACACAATTACACATGCACCCTCTATTGTTTTTATGTCTCTTAATTTTTTACGTCCCACCTATTCCAACTGCAACCTGCGCCATGGTTAAAAATCGCCAAATTCGCTTATCAGATGATCACTCCCTCGTTATGCCCATGTCTTAAACAACGCACACTTTGGACACCAAAGTAAAAACCCTCGAAAAAAGTATTGCTAAAAATGCAAAAAAGAACCCGAAAGCCTTCTTTTTGTATGCCAGCTCAAAGTGCAAGATGAAGGACGGTATTTCTGATTTGAAAGTAGATCAGCGAAAGATATCCTCTGATGAGGGCAAAGCTAACGTACTTAATCATTTCTTCAGTAGCGTATTCACTGAAGAGGACTTGAACAGTATTCCAGCTATAGAGGAGCGCCCAGTCGGCTCTAAATTAACAAGCTTTGAAATACAAGAAGAAGAGGTTCTCAAGCGCCTTATCGCTGTAAATCCAAACAAGTCATGTGGACCAGACGGCTTCCACCCCAGATTACTCAAAGAGTTAGCAACTGTCCTAGCCGGCCCTCTGACGTCACTTTTTCGAAAAACTTTGAACGAAGGAATGTTGCCGGCTGACTGTAAAGAAGCTCAAGTGCTGTCTCTTATACACATCTAGATGTGTATAAGAGACAGGTCCAGCAGCTATCTCAATCAATCGTCAGCTATGGAAAGATCGGGTTCCAAAGGCCGGATCCCTTGTGAATCAAGTCACGAAAAGTTCAAGAATCGGCAACAGGCCATGGGCCTATTTCTTCAGCGCCGACACTTCTATTCTATTCTATATATTTTCATTTTTTCATCAGCATGTTCTGCGTTTTTTCGTGATTATATTTTCAGGATTCAACGTTTAATATCCATACATAAGAACTGCTACTTTCATACTTTTCTATCCGAAAATGTTTCATCCTTTATCCCATCTCGGTGCTCCCTCATTGCGACGGTCTGATTTGCAGCGATCACGCATAACGGTGACGCTATTTATGCATATAGCAATGATAGCACCATGCCACCAAATGGATGCGCAAAGATCAAACAGAAAAAATTACTTAATTTTTGTCTCTGAATACTAGACAGCGTTGCCGTATATGACCATTACAATTATCGCAGACAAATATACTTTGCATCAATGCTTCGACGGCATCAGTGATACGCAAAGATCAGGTTGCAACGCGCATGTGAAAGACTGCAGTCACTGTACATGAGAGAATTACGTACTTCGTTTCCCAGGCTAGACTATCAGTAGATTTGTTATTGCCTATAATGAGGCACTGTTTATAAAAATACCGGGAAGTGAGTAGAATGGAGGGCTATAAATTAAAAATAAATATGAATTTTATGCAGGTATTAATTAAATAAGGTTTTAGGTTAATAAACAAACTTTATAATTTTACCAGAACTTGCTTCGTATTCGAAACTTGATGTTCTCGCATCACAACAATGGACGGTTTTTGGTCAGTTCACTGTTGAACTCCTGAGACAGTAGTTTGATTTTTAAGTGTTCCAAAAAACACACACCGCATCTGCATTAACATAAAAAATTTCTTAGGCAACAAATAGTTAATTACCTACTCTTTATATCTCTTGTATTCACATACGGACTGTAACGGACAGCAAAGGAATGGCTTGATTTGACTGCAATTAGAAAAGTTGTACGCATTCGGGAGCGGAATTGAGGGTACCCAACTTACTGAAGAATTATTTTTAAAGATCCGTGCCTCCAGTCTGAGCGAGGTCTCAGGATGCCCGAGGTTGGTAGGAACTGAAGTCATAAAAGTGCATGATTGCTGTTGAACTTGTTAAATTGGACATCCAGCACATCAGGGACAATCATGCCGCAACAGTCCCTTTTCACACATATAATTTCAACATTACCTGCATACAAACAGCTCAATATAATAATATAAATCACATCAATAACACACCTAGTCAATTCAATCACCAGCGCACTCTTTTCACATCATAACCAATTCACTCACCACAAACAACTCCATCATTAAGGCATATACAATATATACTCACAGTTCTATATCTTATCACTTCTAAAAACAATCAATTTCAAAAAGCCATCATTAAAATAGCACACTTCCACCAAAACAACTCCTGTAAAGAATTCCAATACTCACAGTCACAATTCATATCTAATCAATTGCAACATTAGACAGCACTCAAGCAATCATCAGCTCACTCTGCCAATATCGTATTTAAACTCAAACGCAATTCCGAAAACATCAAAAGAATTGACCACTTCCATATATTTTAAAACCTTGCCTACTCTCTCTGTATTTCACATTGTTGATTTTGCCTAAACTTGTCTAGCTTTTCCCCATCTACCATAATCTATGTAACCATAATTATTTATACCTTACCTTATCCAACCTTACCTAACCTGTACGGCTCTACTCCATCCATACTCATAATAAACTTTCCGTACTCAAAATAATGTAATTATCTCGAGCCCAACCTTACATTACCCATAATTCAAAACCCTGCGCANGGCTGATTTTTGGTGAATTTTTGAAAAAATTATTCGTTTTTGGGGATTTGTGTCTTCCCCATGGGGAATTTTGGGGATCCGACTTTTGATTCGTCAATCTAAAATCAGGCTCTATTATGGGCCAAAATTTCATCTTCGTAGCAGGGCTGGAAGTACGAAAGTGGGTCTAAAAGTGTCGATTTCACGTAGGTACCAATACGGCGAGGACAAGGACGTAAAGTCAAAATCAAAATCTGAATGCGGATCTGAATCTAAGTGTTTCTTCGAAATTCTTTCGGGGTCCCTGCGCCATTAACCAGTGCTGGGAGTTGTTTTGTGCAGTCTTTGTTGATGGGAGCATATCAGGCTCGTGAGATTAGATGAAACAATATAAATTGGTCATGCTTGCATCGTGTTATCGCAAATGGCATTTCCTGAGTGTTTGGAGACTCACAAGTGTTTTTCCTACTATAGCTATAATTTTTCCCTGTAATTTTCAAGAGAAATTGTCTCTTGTGTCGCGTTAATACAAAACATATTAATAAGGCCTCCACACCAACAATAAAGCCTCACCAACTTAAAATCCAATCATATATACGTATTTATCGGTGAAATTTATGTAGATAGCCAAATACTGTACAGCTCCAAGCCTCAGACAAACTAACGAATACAATATAGAACACTAGCAGATTAACCTGGCGCGGTTCGGATAATGAGCTTAAGGATATAATAATGAGATTAAGGATAATAAATAATAATCGAAAGTTAAGAATGCAGACGTCAAATCATCATCCTAGCTAATTATATTATTCCCCTAACACAGTAACGCAGATAGGTAAAGACCAATTTGAACCCTCATATAACAAATAATTTCAATGAAAGTTTAATGAAATAGATTTTTTCTCCCATGCTTGAAATGCCGCTGTAAGTTATTTGATTAAATTAACTTTAAAATTTTCAATCGAAACCCGGTATCCAAACGCCTCACGTATGTAAAACTAAAAATCCCGATGCGCCAGGTATTGTGATAAGCACCCTAACAGCCCTTATTTGTTTACTATAACAGAATTCTAACCTAATTTTGAACTTTTTCTAGTTCCCCGAGATCCTGTGAACGGCTTAGAAACCCTTAGATGACCTGCCTGTATGACATAAGGAAATATTAGTAATTACATGAATTACTCCAAAATAGCATAACTGTACGCACAGGTTGAATAAGGTTTTGGAATCATTTCATGCACAGTGTTCACACAAAATTATATAAATTGAAGTAATATATGCGTGATAACTGATAGTATTTTGTCTTGTCATTTCGGCTTGCTTGACGACAGCCAAAACAGAAATTAATACTCCGAAGTTGCCAGAGGCGATAAGCCTTATCGCACCCCGACAATTGCTATAAAAAGGAAGTGGGCGTAAGCAAAGTTGGACATTCAATTCGAAAGCCAACACTAAAAAGGTGAGTTCAGGTTGTCGTTGAACATTGTGCACAACAAGCATCTTATATTTTGCACCTTATGATTTGTCGATTTTTTACACATTGGAGTTTTTAACTTGTATATGAGGCGATTCAAGCGAGTGAGTATTGAGGTATTTTTGCCGACATCACGGAGACTGCATTCGATTGTAGAAGTTCATATAGGTTATTCAAAGCGTCCATGTTTCCCAGTCAAGAAGATAAGGGTAAACATTTCGAAGCACCCAAAATCATCAAAATTCTGTTAAACCGCTCATAACTTAATATGTTTGGTTTTTGAATATCATAATGTAAGATTAAAATCATGTATTGAAATGACTTTAAATGTTGTTCACTCCGTCAATTACATAGGCGGCTTAACTTCACTATATTATAACGTTACTTTACGTTAGCAACTCATAAGTTTCTGGCTTTAGAAATAACTTCGTGAATTTAGTTCAGCAAGGAACTATACTCACACAATTATTATACTCGGTTCCTTTACATTAATGATCAATATTTTGCGTTTGAAATTTAACAACGTCTTCACTTCAGAATTTAATGCGCGTGCATGCTCTCTTCAGCAATTAATTAATTCCTTCTTTTTTTAAGCAATCACTTAATTCTGGGTAATGATCTCAAATACTTTGATGGGTGGTAAGCTATACCGGTAACCGAACGTGACTTGAATAATTTGTGTTAAGAGCAAACGCATAAGATACATTATACACAGCTGGCCGGACGAAAATCTTTCTATTGAACGCTGCCTGTGATAAAATCAACAATCAATTTTTTTACATATTTAATTTAAAAACTGTTCGTTCGGACATCGGTAACAATTATAGAAATAATAATAATCGATGTTTAGTCTCACAATTAGTTGACAAAATTCTAATTAATTAAAAAATACTACAAAATGAATTATCTTTTGCAGATATGCTAGCATGGAAAACAGTACTTTCAGCATGAAGGAGTTCGATCAGTCATTCGAAGATTCTCTTGCGCGTGGATTTGATGACGGGGTCTTGCAGCTCCATGGCCCGCAGGCCATTGATCTTCTGCCAAGCGATGAATTTATTCTAGACGCTACGGAGGAAAAGCCACCAGATGACCTTCATGGGCCTGTCGTGGGGGAATCATATAATTACTCGCTGCAAAATGGCAGCAAAAAGCTCATCATGTTTAATTTTTTCAAAATTCCCGGCGAAGATGACCGACTTGGTTCATACCGTGACATAGAAACTCTGAAAAAAATTAGCATCGCATTTAATTTCAATGTCGAAATTTATGAAGACCTCGTCAAAACGGACACCGAAAAGGTTCTCGATCGTATACAAAGAGACAAAGAACTCGAAAATACGACGTTGTTGATGATCGTAGTCATGAGCCACGGAGATGGAAAAAATGCCTATTGTTTCAAGAGTTCAGACGGCATGAGCGTCAGTATGGAAGAGCATATAATTGCTCGTTTTAACGACATAAACTGTCCTCAATTGAAGGGGAAACCTAAGATTATGGTCGGCGTCTTCTGCAGAGACACCAAGAATGCTGACACCTCGTCTCGCCCTGAAGAAATTTCGGATAATTTTCTAAACGATACGGTAATAATTTACTCGGCCAAGGAAGGGGAGAAATCTTACAGATGCAAAGAGAATGGGTGCTTTCTAGTGCAAGCTCTTTTCCAATCTTTAGAGAATCGTAGCTTCACTAGCTTTCGTGAACTCGTAGCAAGATTTCACCTGGCTATGGGAGAATATTTGGATCCAGAAATAAAGTTCATAAATTTTAGGGATGTAAATCTCTTCTAGAGAGTTTGATAGTTAAATTACCATGCAGTCTAGAATAAAATTGATATAATCTCACTATCAGCGAAATTTAACCATCTCAGAATAACATGATGGACGTTAGAAGATCTTCTAACAACGAAGTCAAGTTTGACATATTGAGTCGGTGGTTTGTGGTGCAAGCTTTGGACTAGTAATCTAAGGTCAATATAGTATCTCAGGATTATGCGGGTGGAGAGCCAGCTTCAGTTCCCGTGGAGATCGATCTTCCCTGCCATGGAGAGCATGATTCCCTGATCAACAACAAGTGGTGAATGAGAGGCTTGTTATTAAGTGACGCCAGTTCGTGTCTTGAAACACTGCCATCAATTGTAACATCCCGTTTTAAGCAGTGACCAACAAGCGGTGAATAAGAGAGGCATTTCGGATGATTCTGACTTGTGTCTTGAAACACTGCCATAAATTTTAACATCCCGTTGTAAGCATTGACCAACAACTGGTGAATGAGAGAGGCTTGTTTGGTTTCCGACATGTGTCTTGAAACACTGCCGTCAATTTTTGCCCAAACCACTCTATCGGATTGGCTGTGATTCCAGTAAAAAATCATTTTTGAATGTCCCATGATTTTTTACAGGAGTTACATCTGTGCAAATGGAGTTTTTCGTCATTGTTGAGCCTCGTTTAAAATTCGATATGAGTTGGTTCTAATAAATCCTAATTATCTGCGATTACGCGTTTCATTTGCATCGTCAAGAGGACTTGGGACGTAAAAAATAATGAATAAATAAATAAATAAACAAATAAATAGGTAAATCAACAAATAAATAGACAAATCAACAAATATTTATGTAAATAAACAAATAATTAAATAAATAGTGGTTTCAACGTTTATTAGGCCGCGGGCCGGTCGCCGATTCTTAACACCGCAGAATTTTCAAAGCTTGTTGCGGCCTCGAACACGCAATTCAATGCTTTAATTTTGCTGTGCTTAACCGCCCGGCCTCCTCGCCGATTCTGACCAGAAACTGGCGCACAGAGCTGGGATCGAACCCGCACCTCACTGCTGCAATCCTGGTACTCTGAACTGTAACCACTGGGCCACGTTCGCACCGCTGGGCCACCCGGTAAAATGAGAATTAATTAGATGCAAAGTACAATGTCATTATGACCTCATCATTGAACACGAAAGAAACCGGTTGTGTAAACTTATTAGTTATTTAAAACTATTTGTAAAGAAAATATATAAGAAGCAGTTCATGTTTAAAACTTTTAAACATCAATGAATTGAAAATAAGTTTACTGTTATTTATGTTTTCCACGATGCTACAGTCCATGCTACAAGTAATTTCGATTAGAGTCGATTGAATTTTGCCGTTTTTAGAGGTGCATTCGAGTAGGTCGTGGTAGCGGAGAAACGCCCCGAGTATTCACTGCGTGCTGAACCTATACTTTACAAAGAACTCCTAGCAAGTCGAGAGATGCGAGATGCCAACATCCAATTTTATATTTTAAGAATTAAGTGTGAATTACGATAAGCACCACAAAAATTATGATTGATGACTGATTTACCTGTTATATTTAAAAAGTCAAGCGAAAAAACAACCTTAATTCCTAATCCAAACAATACAAGCATTATGTATACCTACTCAGTTACTCATTCCATAGGCTAAATGGTTTAGTTGCAAAGAGCTTATGTTTCGAAGAGATGAATAATTAACTGTAGGCTGTTGCGAAAATTTACCCTGAATTTTGATAGAATCGTGCCCATCTTTGCATTAATCTCTTCATTCAAATTCTTGTGCCTGAATACATATTAGTAAAAAATTAACACTAAACCATAAATATAAAATCTCATGATAAGTATTAATGAAGTCACAAATGCTGAACAACCGATTTCTTCCAGAATCCATCACAACACACAGCACAACTCATGGTTTTCAACCATGGCTCAACTTGTCAATGAAAGATAGCATAGCTAAGCATCTTCAGCGTTGAAGAATCGACCTGTGAGGAGTGTCGCCGATTCATGTTCTCAGCTTCCAGATGACTAGTTCTCGCATCAAAAAAACTGGCCTTATGACGCGACATTTTCAACTGACGTTGGATTACATTTTACATCATAACTGGACTTTCACTAGTTTCGTAGGGTGCTAGACATTTCAAGAATGAACATATACATACATATAAAGACTGAACTGAACAATATACTCATACTCAAGCGTCAACAATATCAACAGCAGGGAGGCTGTTCTACATGTCGGTGATTTGAAGCGAGAAGAAATGTTGTCGAGTGGACAAGTTGCAGCGCCGTTTTCTTAGTTCATAGTGGTGGCCCCTGGTGTTGGTTCTTGTTCCAAATTCTAGTTATCCTTCTGGAACCTTGTATAAACCATGAGTATACTTGTATACTTCAATGAGGTACCCACAATCCTTCTGGGACCTTGTATAAACCATGAGTATACTTGTATACTTCAATGAGGTCCCCACGCCGACGTCGCTAACAGAGATTTAGAGGCTTAATAATCTTTTATCTTTCTTCATAGGACTTGTAGGGAATTATCCTTGTTGCGCGTCTTTGAATACTCTCGACTAAATTTTTGTCCTTCTCAAGCATCGGTGACCATCCGGCGTTTTCAAACTCTAGGTTTGCGCGCACGACAGCGACAGACAATAGCCTCATCGCTTCTGCATCTATGAACTCGTATGAGCGTCTGATCAGTGCAAGTAGTTTATTTTGATTTCTTAGGTTGCGTTTTGTATCCTTGTCGACATTAACTCCTAAATATTTTTCCACGACTAGACTTTTCAATCATTAATCTCTTATTGCAACCGTGCTTTTTCATACTGTAATCATGCTGTACAGTGTTCCTGCTGAGGTGAAGTACGAGTACTTTACACTTGTCAGCATTAGAACGCAGCTGCCACGTATCGGCCCAGTCAACTATACTATCAAGTTCATCTTACAGTTGTACTTTGTTTGACGCATCCTTAACTGTATTATAAACTTTTGTGTCGTCAGCATACATGGAGCATACGCTTAAAGGTTGAACTAATATAGTTCAACCATGATGTGCTTGACACTACTCCTGGCAGATCGTTTATAAAAGCAACGAACAAAACAGGCACAAAAACGCTTCCTTGTGGCACGCCACTGCGCACTGATGCCCAGTCTGACACGCTGGTGTTAATACTGACACGTTGTCGTCGACCTACAAGAAAATCTGATCATTGGAGGACGTTTCCCTCTATTCCCTAAGACTTCACTTTACGCAACAGCTGTTCGTGCGGAACATTGTCAAATGCCTTGGCAAAATCGAAGTACACTGCAATCTACTGGCTCTCTTTCGTCTTGCAGGCGAGTCCAATCATTCAAGGTAGACAAGAGGTTAGTGGTGCAGGATCTACCGGCAATAAAGCCATGATGACAGACTTATAGGAGGTGGTTAACAGTCAAGTAATCGATAATCCTTTCCTTCATAATTCTATTCTTTAATCAAAGATCGTCACGTCTCGAATTAATAGTTCCTCCGATTACAATAAAAGATCACAAGCTTTCAAGAAGCATTAGCGGTTCAATTACCATTTGTAGAAACATTCATGGCTGCGCTTCATCACATCTAGTATAAATAAGAATTCTGATACGACTGAACTGCAACTCATGATAACTACTTAAACTATTGTGTTGTTTTGAACTGAACAAATAAGCGAATTTGGTAACTTGATGAAATTATTTAAATCAAATAAGTTATAATTTTACAATTCAATTAAAAAAAATGAAATTATATACTCCTGAAATTCGTACTGCTGCAGTGCACTTTTGAAGTGAATGAATCCTCGAGTAGGGTGATATTTACATGCAAATCACTAAAGTAACAACCGGAAAACTGAATTCTCGAAAGATACCACCAGGAACTGAAAACCGGAAAAATTGTCGAGTTGTTACGTAACAGGAAAACGCATGTTATTTGAAATTGCGCTTAAGTCACGCAAGTTAACTTAAAAAAATTCGATTCTGAAGCGCTTGAACAGAGACACACGTGAAATAGATTGAAGGATGCCAAGGTTTTCGCCAACCTCGAAAACATTTTTCACATCACACGAGCTATAAAGAACAACAAGTTAGGTCTCGAGACCCGCAGCTAGCTGTGAAAATTCTACGAAGTCGAGAATCGGTGACAGTGCGCCCATGGCCTGAACATAGCCACCCAATATTACGAGTACATTATAATTAAAACGCATTTGAGCAAATAGGAGGAAGAAAACACCCAAATTGACGAAGTTGTTGTTCTCGAAGTCATTCTCGTCATTAGAGGAAATACAGATAAAACAAACAACCAAAACACAACCAAGCAGTGATCATGATCATTACTGGAGGAAATAAATAGAGATAAACTTAAAAAACACAACCAAGCACATACCTTAAAATTTTGGATGCGAAATCGAAAACAAAAACTTCTTCAGACCATGGGAATGATGAATACATTACCAGGTTTATTATTTATGCTCGGGAATTTACATCCTATCAAAATTAAAGTTATTTATTCATTAATTAATTAATGCATGCATAAATGAACGGAAGGTCATAAAGCCAAGCTTGGACAGCCGTTTTTAGGGACAGAATATCGTGTCTGAATCGACTCCGACACGAACGAGGCATAGCGATGCACCGGCACCTCCCTCACAATGAGTCGTGAACTCGTCATCAATTCATTACTTGCAGCAACAGGTGAAAGTTCAATTTGAACTAAAATTCTGGCAACGTAAGATATATTCGACTAATTTCACTACCTCAGTTTAGATTTAAACCGTTAGATGTAAGTTCGGATAATAAAACCTGCCGCATTGTTAATGACCACACGTCAACACTGCTAAAAACATAACGATTATAGCTAATTGGAGATTCCGAACAAGATTGTACTTTTGAATGCACTCTAAAGCTTTATCAGAGCAAGAAAAGACTGAAGAGAACAATATTGTTCTGTTCAATCTACATTAATCAGAAATAGCCTAACTTTTAATTAACATTCTTAATAGCCTAACATATTTTTGTCAAATATCAGGTACGAAACCCTCCGTAAGCAAGACTCTGGCAGTGTGCAGTGAGACATAAATCAAAGTTGTAGTGATGTTCCTTTACTGGATGCAAGAAGTATCTGGGAAATAACGCTTGGACGCTCAGGAACATTGACCATAGGATAAGACAATCACAAATTTGAATTAGAGTTGCGCTGTTCAAAATCAACCTAACCAGGCAATTTCTAAATATACACTCCCACAAGAAAGCCTACACATCACTTAGGATAAACCAAATTCAACCCTTACCATCAAAATCAAATACAGGATTTTAGTTGTAGATAGCAACCTAACGAATAAATTACAAAAACCTAAACTGAAGTCCGTCGTCAAGGAAAATTAAGATAATAGATTAGCAAGTTCGTAGTAAATGAACAGATATTACAATATTATAGCATCGGACCTCGCAGGCTAATTCGACGCTGCTGCTTTACAAGATCAGGTCACCATGAATACCTTGGCGTCCGATAGCGTCACAGCTAAGACAAGGTCGCTGGAGTTTAGTTAGTAACTAGGAAGTTGTTTATAGTAACTTCGATTATATACCATAACGCGAGGAGACGCCTTGATCGACTCGCCCGCGAGTGCAGGCAGTGAGCGATCACTGCGTTATCGTGCGTGTGTGCTGAGGCTTAGTGTTAGTGAAGAATTTCAAGAAGCTCGAGACTGATCGGCGAGGAGAACCGAAGTTCAACGGGTCCCAATTAATTAGCAGGCAACTACTTAGCGCGATTCAGAAGATATCAACAGGATGCAATGGGATCAGAAAATGTGAGCAATATAAGCGGAAAACCTGTGAAAGCTGATATCGAAAACTATACACGCCTTAAATTATGCAATCAAAACAGCCACAGAAAAAATATACTTTGGGGTTTTGTTAAACCATTTTTGCTAGTCACTAAATCTCCTTAGTGCAATAATCTTTACGTGGTTTACGTGAAGAACAGTGAGCGTAATTAAAAAAAATTCAAGCAGATCCTATTCAAGATGCATCTTTAATTAAAAAATAACGTCACAACAAAATACAATAGTCAAGTTTCAAAACAGATCTCTTCCCAATGAGAAACACGAGGCACTAAGCCATTTGATCGTAAATGTGTTAGGGCCAGCACTGGCACCATAACATTAGCAGCCGTCGACCACGCAGGCGATGAACATCAGTTGCAGTGTTTTGACTAACGGAATCAGTCTTCACACTTGCTTTCGAAAAAACAATGGAAATAAAATATCTAAATCTAGAAAACTGACACCATTGTGACTAAAAATAAACAATTCTGAGAATAATTTATGGCTTTTAACGTTGTGCTATGACAATTGTGAATTTCCAAAAAAATACTTAAAAGTATGGATTTACTACATTCATGATTAGTCATAAAATGCCAGTTAAGAATCCTCGTTCATTTACGATTGAACACGTTACTTATTTGAGAAAATTCGGACTAAAACAAACGTGGCTCTGCTAAACGTTGCCATCAAAGTTGATGCTGACTTACAAGAAACTTGAGACGCATTTGCAAGTGGATCACCATCACTCGGTGAAGTAAGTGAAACTGAAAACAGAATAATACTAAAATGATGAGACAAACTTTGGGGTGTATGTTGCGGCTTCTCCGCAACATATGCGTTTCATTAAAAGAAGAATAATCTTCATCAACTAATGGTGATAATATATCGGGACTAAGCTCATCTGGATTCAGTTCATGACATGGATGTTAGCACATCTATCATTAGCCGGCTCTTGGTTTCTTGTATACACCTGAAATAAATGAAAGTTTGACCTAATATCCGATCCTGTATTAACCATAATATATTTAGACTCAGTAGCAATGGCCCACCCACTCCTCGCCAAGCTGGTGCAGTGAGCAAACTGCTGCTAGTGAAGCTCCTCACAACCGAATAAGAAAGGTACCTACCTGACATTCGTTAATTATGCTAAGAATGTGAGATGCCAAAAAACAAAGCTTTGCGTGAAGTCCTAGAAATGACGGGCATCGCCAATGGCAGAAAGCGCTTTACAAACGGCTGCACTAATGTCGCTGATGCAACACGCACGATATCTAATAATCCAGTGTAGAGGCAAGGAAAGAGGCTCTTAAGCGTAACGATTCAGTGCGACGTAATAAGCCGGAGCTAAGATTGCAGAACTCCAAGAGATTCGGTTGAAATTACATGACATATTATTGAAAAAAATACTAAGTAAAACGTCAGCTAAAGTGCAAATTGTCAACATATAGTGGTTAAACTCATAATTTTGAACATAAGCGGTTAAACTAAAAATTGTCAACATACTAGTACAATGGTTAAACTCGATTGTCTACATACAGCATTAGAACTGTGCGATTGAAAAATAAATTTCAATACTATTATGGCAAAATGTTAGCATGACTCCCAAAACTCTAGGGGCTTATCTCTGCCTGGAATAAGAACGTGAATGTTAACATCTTGAGTGTTATTATTAAAATTTAATCATGAGGCACTGTCAACTACCCTAATTTGAGTTTTCGACAGGTCAATTACGATAATTGCGATGCTCTGACATATGACAGTGGAGGTGTGAGAGAATGCAAGAACCAGCATCAGTGACACAATTCTACAACATAATGCGTGAACTTACATAATGAAATGAGAACAAGAAACACGAAAGCTGCACTGCCTCATGAAATATTAGTAGTAACATAGCTATATATACTATAGTAAGCGGTAGTTCATGAAGTTGATATGACAATAACCTAAAGCGTCAACTGGCCAAAAATGTTTACCTCCATAATCAAAATAACCAATAAATTAAAGGAAGACTTTTGAAGGCGCAACTCCTAGATGACCAAATCATCTTGGCCCCGAGCTTATTTTCTAGAAGAAGCTTTACCTCGCTATCTGGTGAGAAATTGTTACATGCAGGGAACTGAGGTATTTTTGTTCAGCCTAGAGTCTTATTGAGTGAGGATCATTAAAATCAGAAGTTAATACATTGCAAACATTTTCACAGCCAAATTGCCAAGTTCACATTCATACCTTAATAAGCTAAATAACGAGAAACTCTAAATAAAATGAGCTATGTGCTTGAGATTCTTAGCAGATCAGGATTAAGATCATTAGAGGCATGGACGGCTAACCCTCCATCGTCGGGATTAATGTTCTGACACGTTAACACATTGAGTCTTCGTCGCACCTCCACGGCAGCAGTTGTACCATCAACTGCAGCGCATTTAGCCAAATTGCTCTCATTAAACTCACATACAATTTCTGAACAATCAACAATATTTGTTTCGAAGTCATCTAAAGATGGCAGTGTAGCCACGTTACTTTCATCGACTGTTGCAACTTTGGTCGGAGAATCCACTAACTGCATTTCAAACTGGGCATCCGGGATATAAATTTGGGACGTGTTGGGCTGAGCGGATGAGTTGCTCACGCGTCGGGAGAGGGACGAGCGTTCTGTAATATTGCGTGCAAATGCATCCATAGCTGCCTTGTGATCTGACGAAGAGTTTTGTGTTATAAAACAATCTGATGTATCTGGCATGCAGTGCTTGGCAAACTCTCGTTGATATTGAGATTTGAGGTCAGCTTTGGGGGGGTTGGCTTTCAAAAACCCATCGATTGATACGTCACTCAGGCCGCCTTTCACTGCTATTGCTGCTTTTACTCTGCGAATAAATAGGTTTATGACATACTTATTACAAAAGAAATAATGACTACTTGCAATTACTACGGCATTATGATATTAATATAAAGACAATATTTCAACATAATTCCATGGACAAAACCGTGTAGGCACCAAGAAATAGCGGGTATAACACTTGCCAAGATCGAACTATTTATGAGTTACAAGGTACGACCTACAAGAAACGAGCCGTTAAAATTAAATCATTTAGGACTTTCCATTGAGTATTTCAGAGCCTCCGATGTACAGTTAATCGCATTTCTTATCATCTGATGACAAACAATAATGTACAGGAGAGTCACGAATGCGTGCAAAATTTTAACAAATAAGCGGATGAAAAATCTGTCAGCTGAAATCTGTGGTGATATCTGTTCCATAAAGCTTATTGCTCGCCGGTATTAAATATATATACCCGTGTGCAATATTTCTAGTCTATTAATATTTCAAAGCAGCAGACTCATCTTAGTCAACAGCAATATCAGACAGATTCAATGAAAAAATCTCACCGCGAATATTAGCTGAATAATTATGGCAATAGAAATAATAATAAACCCACTCAATGAAGAAATATCCTCGCAAACAGTTGGAAAAATACATTTGTTTAGTGAAGCCATATACCTGTTAGCAAAGTCTATGGCAGTCTCGTGAGGCTGGCGTGTGACGGGCGGCAGATACCAGACATCACACACTATGGCCCAGGATGTCATGGTGTACAGCACGTACGAGAAGAACGCGTCCTGCCACCAGTACGCGTCACCGAAGCGCGAGTCGAAGCGGATAGCCACAGGATAAATGACCGAGTCAATCTGTACGTTAACGAAGCATAGCGAAATCAGTTAGTTCGCATTACAGTGAATAGAGATGAGTTACATTTATGCATGAAGCACATTTTACGCCGGCAACTGAACCGTACCAAGAATAATATATAGGAAACATAAGGTATTGATAAAGCTGGAACTAGCTGGCATTTTTGGTTTCTGTAACAGTACCATTTTCACGGTACGAAATAAATGCTAAGTTATTTATAATTAGTAAGATCGATGAAATATGGATGAATAAGACACTTAAAATGGTTTTCAAGTCATTGTCATAAAAAAGTAAAATTAAATAAAAGGCTGATAACCCAACCTCAAAGGCACCCTTTTTGAACTGCACCACCGAAGTGTTGTTCACGCACACGCCCTCCGGGAAGATCAAGATAGGCGGGAGCTCGGGATTGGCAGTGTGCTCTTTCAGTCTGTCAGTACAGGCTGAAGTTTTTTGCGTGGATCTTATCATCAAATGACCATGTAAATTGGTTTACTTGTGGCAATACAACTCTCCAAATTATTATTTTTTGAGAGTTAACATGGACGAAATAAATAATTACTTCAAGTAAATTCAATACTACCTCATGACTATATTCAAATTGCAAGCAGAATGAAAGTTGTATTGACATGAACAAAGATAAAATACGATTGAAAGCTCATGAACTTGAAACATTTTTCCTTGAATAGGAAAGTGCATCAAAAATATCAAATACACAGTACTGATATAAACGATAAACCACATGAAATTATAGCAATAATTGGATATTTGATTCAAATATGATGATTTCGCAGTCAAGATCTCATAGATATTGAAACTGTTTATAAACACACTTTGGCAGGATGTAGCTACCTTCGTGAGACTTCGGAGCGATCTTTGGCACTGCTTCTCTCAAACCAGATGTGGGTTGAGCTGCGACTCAGCAGGGTCATGAAATAGCCCAACAAGCCGCCATGTCTCTGTCCAACCTGTCCGTAAATTATTACTTAAAATTTAAAGTTTAGAAGCAAGCAAACATCTACTTCTATGGTGTTGCAAAATTTAATAGAGAAAGCTAACTAATTTTGAACTTATTGGAAAACATTCACGTATTTATAATAGTTGACTTCCAACAAACTTCAAACTAATAATTTTGAAGATCTACCAAATTCAAATTGCTACGTATAAGCAACATTTACGAAACGTTATCTTACCATATCATAAACGTTGTCGGTGGATAAAATCATGGAATCAATAGGAGAAGTGTGGTTGGCCACTGTGATGCCCGACTTCGGCCGGTTTTCCGTGTTGTGAAACGTGGCAAACAGAGAAAGAGATCCCGCCACAAAATCAAAGCAAAAAATGCTCAGGCGCCCATTCAATTTACGTTTAGTTGGACCTTCTGGGAATGCTCCGACAACAACAGTGCATGCAAGCAGAATGAGCATCCCAGTTAAAAGGACCATCATTCTTGTTGGCAGCAGAAACAAATATCGAATAAGGAAGCCACTCATCCATAGCAGCGTGAGTCGGCAGCTGACAAACTCGTAATCCCGCGTATTGGTTCGCGTAAGAAGGTTCCAGCATGGAGGCACTTCAGGAACAAAATTCGTCAGAACTGTGTCTTCAACAATGGCTGACACTCCCGCCCTAATGTACTCTAATATATCACTCATATGAAACCCATTCTCATCGGCTTCAGGCAAACCCAAATACTTGGGCTGGCTGAAAGATAATTGTTGGATATCCTCAACAATGTCAGACTCATCAAGAGACACAGATGGGAAGCGATCTCTTCTTCTTTCCTCAACTCTGTTTTGGCTGAATTGGAATAGTTTAAGAAGCAATTGAATATATCTTTTTCTTAATCCAAGTCGTCGGCCGCAGGCAGCTATTAAAAATAGAAAAACAAACAAGCAGAAATGGATCAATAACAACGATCCGAGTAGAGATTCCATGTTAAATGTACTTTGAACACAAACTAATTATAATTCAGCAGAAATGAACGTTTCCAAACTTAGATAAAATATCAAGAAGCACAAAAGCACTTCATGTTTACCTGAAAGGATAAAAAATAAGGATAAATAGACATTGGGCATTTCAAACATTTCAAAACATTTTCAAAAGATATTGGATAGATAATATGGATATAATTTAGCAGTAAATGTTCACATGTCAATATCAAAAATTATTTATAACCTGAATCACATTTGAAGGGCAATGATATGCAATACCTTAATATTTATAGTAACTTCTTTCTTTTTTAATTAGTTTGCAGAGAAAGAAGTCTGAGTTGTAAACTCACTTAAAATTGCTCAGTTACAGTAATGATTAAATATGGCAAATTAGTAATTAAAAAATATGTTGGAAATTTCTCCTGCAGGCGAGACAAACACTTTTACTTTTAGTTGGTACCAGTATGTTGGAAACTATGAATAAAGGAGGTGCAAGGAATATGCTAAACTTGGTGCAAGGAGCACCAGACAAATGCATGCAAGAAGCATTGTGTATCATTATGTAGCATTAGGCATCATGAACATGAATTAGGGATTTCCTGGAAGAAATTGTAATCCATAATAGAATTCTAAATTGGCTGAAACCAAATGATAAAGGCATTTTGGGTTAATAGTCATGAATCAAAGTAATGACAATATAAATAAGGCAGGCACTTAATTAGCAAGTAGGAAATGAATAATAATAAATAACCTTAGAGGTGCCACCTAGATCCTTGAAATAATCATGTTATAAATGGGTACCTACAAACAATAGAAGCAGACACATATAGCAGCACAACATCATAATTAAACAACACATATAAATATATATTACTGCAGGCTAAGGCACATAGAATACAATTATTTTCTCATTTTGTTCTTGGTAAACATATTGTTACATCTTGATGGCAAGATTTCTTCCAAGAACAACATGTCATACAAGCTGGAGGGAGCAAGGGCTTCACTAATCCTGTGGAGGCACAAGTGGGGCAACATGAACTCAAAGGAAGGAATTTTTTGCAGCGCAACCTTGCTGTGATTACTCCACTAAGCTATCAGCCTGTCAATGCAACAGCAGTCTCATCACCTCCAGCACCCAATGCCTCAGAGGCTGGTTCCTGGAGAGATGAAAATATTTATACATGAATGAATGCAGCATTGCTAAGGGTGACCAGACTTTGGCAACAACACCCAATGAGTACTCAGATACTGACTGTACTGGCTAATGCAGTCAGTGTCTAAATGAATAATATGAATGAGTCAGTATTGGGATTATTCCATGCTATTTACAAAAACAATATTAATCATCTTTGGAAATTTACTTCCTGAAGTAATGCTTAGTTGAATTTGAGGTTATTGAATTCTACTAATCATAAATCATAGTTCTGACTATTAATAGTACTATAAGGTGACATAATGGTGTTTGGTGATAAGCAGCAAGGTAAATGTAGTATCTGCCAGATAGAAACTTGCGTGTCACTGTCTGACTGACAGTAAGATGGAATTCTAGAAATAATGCTTAATTTATTATTTTTTATCCCCCTTGGCCAGTTTTCAGTCCAAAAATTTTAGTTAAGATAGAAAGGAAGAAAAATAAAAGGAATTCAAGTTGCACATAAAAGAATGAAAGTTGCAACATTCAAAGATTTCAATTAGGCTAAATAATAGATTTTACTTCAGCAACAATTTGTCTCTAAGTTAAAGACATCAAATTAACCATCATGAAGTAATAACAAATCTTGCCACCAATAAGAGTTCAAGGCGATGCACACTGCAGAGGCTGTTTGAGGGAGCAGAATCATGTACATGAGAATACAGTGAAAGCATGTGCACAGTTATATGATATACTGGATTCTGGTTGCCAATGCAGCAGTGCATATCAATCTGCCTTGCCAAGTGTTTATACTAAAAACAACACTTGTAAATTTAATCACAAATATTGGTTGAAATAATTAATAACTAAGTGAGAAGAGTCGATTCAAGAAGCCATAGCTAGTGATCTCTTTGTTTGCAGTTGTAATGAAATAAATTATTGTTTTGAATGGTGTTAAGGGGAGTGTCTACCCTAAAATTTTGGATTTTGGCTTTCCCAGCTTTTAGTCTCATCTTAAAGCCAACATTCTGACCTATCCAATGGTACAAAAACCATCTCTGTACATTGATTTGTGTGTTCACAACATATCGCGAAAGGGTTAGGGGTGGTGGAGTTCTTTAACATTTAAGATAGGCCGAAATTACCGGCAGTCCACTTAAATAGCTAGTCTGAACATGCTGTGCTTCAGTCATACGCCTGCAGTCGTACGGGATAGTTCTCGTGCCGTCATTCACACCATCCTTGACAGAAATTGAGCTCCAGTATCATCTAGTCTTGCAACCCTGCACTCTTGAATGTCTATTTTGAGGCGCGCGCGACTTTGTTGGGCTCTACTGAAAAGTTGACTTATTGTCACTGCAAACCTATCTCCTCCTAGAGTTTTGAAGCTACAACAATGAGGCATATATCATTAGATTTGCAAAAAAAAGATCTACAATGTTGCGTAGGCATTTTTCTAATTTCATTAGTTTAGATTTTATTTAGTAAAAAGAGGGGAAAAAATTGAAAAATTTCTGAAAAATGGCCCCCCACCCACAAAAATTAGAATTTCAAAAAATGCCTACACAGTTTTGTAGATATGGTCCTTACATATTAAATGATATGTGTCTCGATGTTGTGGCTTGAAAACTCTAAGAGATAGATTTCTATGGTACCATTTTTGGCCATTTTTTAAAGAATTTCACATTTTCTTTTGAACATTTATTTAAAAAAATTCACATGAACAAAATGCTTTTTTTCTATTTTACATGAGTGTACCAAGTTTCTGAGTGATCTGTCTGTAAATAGCCGAGATAAATTTTAGGGTAGACGCTCCCCTTCATGGTATATTCAGTTCAAGTTAATCAACATTTGTACAATTTCTGATGAAGGTTATAAATATTTCTTGAATTTTAAATTATGAAACAAATTTTTTTCATAACATTCTTTTAATGATCCTGGTCTCATAGCTTAATATTTTAAATTCAACTATTTTGTCACTTCAAAAGACTTGCTCCATTGACTACATTGACCATTCCATATCGGCATTATTTTACACAAGCGTATTCATGGAACATTTCTGAAATAATAATGATATTTTCATTCCAATGTATAATTGGGATCCATAAATTACCTACCAAACATAGTGACAGAACACAAATTTTTTAGAATCAGTTTGTTTTTAATTTCCTCATCTCCTCAAGATTTGAACCAATGTCTTGTACATGATTATGCTGGCATCCATGATGCAATATTGGTCTGCTTATAAAGGACTCAAAAATGAACTTGAGGAAGAATCTGAAAATGTCTTTGCTTCAACACTGTGCTCCTGAATCCATTTATTGCCACTTAATTTGGACTCCATGTACAAAAATTCTACCTTCATTCCCAGGGTCTTCCCACAGAGCTGTCAGACCAATAACAATGCAGAACATCAATATAACAATGAACGTTACACATTAAAATTAAATCAAATAACCACATGTAATTTTTACTTGGTTATGTGCTGTTCTTATAAATTGTGAAATCTTTTCCATAAGGTTTCTGATATTCATAACTGATCATTAATTTTTTTTCAACTTTTGATCAACTATCATTCTGAAATTTATCAATCTTGTTCATCTATCAAGTTATGAATTCTAAACACTTTTATAAGAATTTTTCACTCCTCTACACATCACTAGTAGGGATAACTTTAATAACACCACATAACACATGCCTAACATCTCGAAATTCTGCCTCTCTCATTAAAAAAAATTCACGCTTATAAAAAATGAACACTTTATAAAAGACATGACACATTTGAAAACCCACAATGGAAGATGAAATTATTATTGAGCCCTGTTTTTGTTTTCAGTGCTATCTGAAGTGAAGTTGGTAACATGGTAAGACAATATCAACAAAAACATGCAAAATTTTTTGTATAAGTATGGTAAAAAAAGGAGGGTGGTTAAACTGAAACTTTTCATCATTTAGTTAAATCTCATGGATCACATCTACATATTTTGAAATCAAATTTGACATCGCCCAAACAGGGAGTGTGATATCTTCAGGTGTTCATGGTGCTTAATGAATTCCACACTTACTGAGTTACAGTGCAATTCTGGGATTGGCAGTACTTATTGGTCTTGGCAAAGAGCACCTGGTTTTGGTGCCTGGGGGGCCAGGGGGGAGGGGAGAAACTGGGGAAGTGACAGGAGACAGGACTTACAATTTACGATCAACACAAGTTAGGAATTTAAATTATTTATTCTAGATCAAAGAAGATAATATAAAATTTGAATTTTTTGGACATTTCATATTTACAATGAAGTATAACTTTACTAGAATCAATTTTAAGTACTGGAGTGGGTCCAGGGTGAAGAAAGGAGGTGAATATTGCAAGATCTTTGGCGGCGCATCAGCAGCAAAATTTATGCCTTCAGAAGATCTTGCTGAAACATTTGAATTGAAATTATTGCATTTCATATATTTGCCAGTCTTCAGTCAACTATTTAGAAATAGTTGAAAATTTGAAAGACTGCAAGTGCACACAGTAAGGTTTCTGGTATGTTTGATTGATCAGGATTCAGTGAAGCTTGTTCGGAAATCAGTTGTAATGAGTGTAAGTGTTGCAGTGCGTGGAGAGTAAGGGATATACTATCAAAGTTGTTAGCAGCATTTTCTTATTAAAAATTACTTGGTGATGCATCTTGAAAATGGCAGGTGACATTTTGGGCAGAAAATCCATATCTTGGCAACGCAGCTTGCAAATTCTGCACCCTGGGAGTGGGTGAGTGGAGCACTGGAGCAGGCTTCGCAAGTCACCATTTTCTCCAAGTTGCCTGAGCATGAGCAATACAATACAACATGATTATCATTATGTCATCTGTCAACATCCACAATTCCACATACAAAATAAAATGTACACAAATTGCAAAGCATGCCATGAAGTAAATTAAGAAAAAAGGATTGTGCAGTAAATCATCTTACTTAATATTTACTTCTGTAGGT